AATTAGAGTCTTGAAATTATTAAAATTCCAATAATAAAATATGATCCTTACTTAAAATTAAAAACATATATAATTTTACAAAATTATCCTTACTTAAAAAAAATTAAAAAATGACACTATTAAAATTGCCATGATGGGTTAGGACTATTATCAATTTTAATTGAAAAAACCAAAATCCATACTTAGGAATTGGTTATTTTTTAGTGTGAAACTAAAATTTACTCGTAAAATTTTCGAAAGACACTTATGAATATATGATAGTGATTTAAAAATTTATCAAAGTCATTTCTAAATATGAAATTAATTATTTGTGAATTTTTATGCTTGTCAATATATAGAAAAATTATTTACAAAATCAACAAAAGATACTATTGAAATTACTATCATGAGTTGGGATCGTTGTTAATCTTAATTGAGAAAACTAAGAACTCAAGTTGTGGTTTGGGGCTATTGAAATTATTATTATGAGTTGAAACTATTGTTAATCCCATTCTTAAGTGTGGATCCTAGTTTTTTAACTGAGATAAACAATAATCCCAATTTATAACAATAGTTTCAATATTCGAAGACAATTTTGTAAACTCATATGTGTTTTAGAATCTCTCATCGTAATTAATGATCTTATATGATCTTTAATTAATTGTCATTTTTCTTGATGAGAGGCTCGGTTTTAGAAAAATATTTGTTATACTTTTATGGAAGAATGACATCCAAAGTAATGTTTAAATATTTATTTTACTAGCTAAAGTTAGTGCGACAGATATTCTTGTTACTTAACCAAATAATTAGAGGTTCAAACTTTAGTATTTGTGTATGTAGTAACAATTTAGAGAGGAGTACTTGGAGAAGATATTTTATGCGCTCAACGGAGCTTACTCTTTATATTAATTTGATATTTATAAATATGATAGATAAATTTTTGGATAAAAGTGTAAATTAACCCTTAGAATATAAGTTTAGAAGTGTGTGAGATTTTAAAATTATTTTTTATACTTTATTCCATTTCAACTTTTTAAAACGGTATAATTTGGCCATTCATTATTAAAAGTTGATTTTCCTTGTTAGTTGACCAAACAAAGAAAGAAAATGACTTAAAAAAATTATAGAAAATGGCAAAAAATTTACAATAAAAAAGCTAAAAATTATAGACAAAGGCCTAAACAAATACAAAAAAGGATCAAGAAAATTTTATCAATCCTTTTTGTAATTTTTGATATCATTTTTTGGTTCACTAAAAATCAAAGTTAATGTTTGTTAATGGTAGGAGTTAGATTGCTTCATTTTCAAAAGTTAATGAAAACATTTATTTGCACCAAAAATGAGTTTATGACCTCAAATATTTCTGAATCTATAATTTAGAGGTCAATTTATTCTTGCATCCTAATTTTTTTTACCATTCAGTATTTTTTTAATTTGATATTTAAAATATCTATCCAATTAGTGTGCTTTTAAGAATTAAAATAGAAACAAACAATGTAAAATTGGATTTTATGTTTTTTTAGTAAATTATATGGTATCTAGAGTCAAAGATTTGACGAATCCAGATTGAGCTAGGTTAGTATTTTTTCAAGAAGAAGTTTTACCGTCAAACACTTTTACATTCTTAGACTTTAGACTCGAGACTCTTGGTTAAAAGGATACAATGCCCTTGTCAGTTGAACCAAATATAATGTCAGGCCTGATAAAATAGTCAAGCATGGTGAAAATTGAAACCCAATTGTGAAGCAATGAAGAGAGATAGACAGAATAATCTAATGAAGCAGTGTGTGTGATAGACCCTAACAATGTTAAAAGATAGAGAGATATCAAAATTTGAAAGAGATCTATGATGGAAAATGGCCGGAATTCAAAGGAGAAAATAAAGGAGGAATATGAATCCAAATGGGAGGATAATTTAACTGAGAGGGTAAGGGTGTTGCTGTTTGTTTGGATAATTTGATTTCTTAATTTTTAATATGTTTTCTTTTTTCTTGTTCTTTATCCATGTCAACGTTATATTTCTCTTTTTATTAACTTATGTGGTTACCATATCATAATTTTGTCAGTCATGTCATCATAATTTAATGGTGTTAACTTCTCTGCAAAGATTAAGGATGACTTTTGATATTTTTATAAAACATAAAGGATTGAATTAATAAAAATTAAATATGAGGTACCAAATTAATAACTCATACACACATAAAGAACTAAAGGTTATATTATTTCTTTAAAATAGCACCAAACAATGTAAAATTGGATTTTATGTTTTTTTAGTAAATTATGTGGTGTTTGAAGTCAAATATTTGACTAATTCACATCGACCTGAGTTGGTATCTTTTCAAGAGAAAGTTTTACCACCAAACATTTCTATATTGTTAGAACTCAAACTCTGAGACCTCTAATTAAAAGGATATAGCACTCTTTTTAGTTGAACCAAATGCTTGTTAGTTGAATGAATTTTATACTTTGCTATCTATCATAAAATTAATTTTTTTAAGCATTTGGTTACCTCAAGATATATGTACAATATAATTTTTTTACACACATTTTGATATGAAAGTATAATCGTGTTATAATGGATAAAGACAATGTAGTTGAGACCTCTTGAAGACCTACATCAGGCAACCACAGACTAAAAAAGTCAAGGAAACACAAATAAGCAATCAAAGGAAAGGACTTTTAAATGAACTTGTTCCCAGCAACCCTAGTTTTCAATACACCATAATAGTTGATTAAATTCTTAATCACATTAATATTCAACTAAAAATACCAATAGCAAGCATAGCTCATAAAAATAGTTAAAAACTCTAAGAATAAAATTCTCATTCATAAACATGTCCCAATAGAGTACAATTTCATAGCTTATATATAGCCTAACATAAGACAACCTAAATGAAACTAGAAGTTATAGAATTCCCTTTAAGAGTAGTGTCTAATACTTTGCATGTTAGAAAAGTTTCTTAATTCATGAAAATTCAGCAGTTATAAGTAATTAAAAACACATTATAGAAGCTTTCCTTAAAACTGAACTTAAGTAAAATTAGAATATTAGGACAGCCTCTTGATGCTTTTTGAATGTTCTTGGACATCCTATATATATACTTCCACTCCAAGGAACATGTATATCATTGATATTACTGTCGAATAGCACCAAAATTATTAAAAACTAGATTTTACAGTTAAACATAAGCTAACTATTTAAATTATGATAATAAAAAGCTAAAAAGTGTGGGGATTTTTTTATGAGGAAATTAATTTTAAAAAAGCTAAATTAAAATTAAATAATTAAAATAAGTTTAACTAAGAAAATTATCAAACACAAGCAGCACAATCAGTCACGATCCAATTACCTAAACTTAATCTTCCTCATTCACAAAATAAATTAAATTTATTTAACTTTATTATTCTAATTTTATTTTATGTTTTTCAAATTATCATTCAAGGATTAAATAAGCAATTAAGTTATAGATTAATTGAAATCTTCCTTAACTTACAACCTAACATGTGTTCTAAGTTAGTTACACCAAAACAAAGCATGGATAATCATCCAAGCCAAACCAAATTGATCTTATATTACTATATTAATTGATTATAGTAAATAAAATATCAGATAAAATTTATAACTCAAAAAGTATGCGATAAAGCTACTCTAATTAATAATAGTAATTAAAGTATAAAATTTAGAGGTAAAGAGAAGAAGAGCAAAATGGAATAAAATTAGAATAAATTTTTTCTTGAATATCTAAGACTTTGATTAAAATTTAAGATTATGATTTATGATTAATTATACTAAAAAATTAGTTCTTCATATAACTAATAACCAAACAGCCCTGTACAAGAAGACGAGAAGCCATGGCTTAAGAAAATTGAAGAAAAGAATAATAGATGAAGAGCTATCGCTGCCAGCCTGCCACGTCTACGTCTCCTTCTTCAATTGAAAACTGTTGTGTCGCCACTGCCGCCCACGCTCTTTCTTTTTTTGCGCCGCGTCTCCGTTTCTTTTCTACGGAGGTTGTGCGTGCGTGGTTTTTACGGCCAAAGAAAAAAACCTAACTAATTTAATATATTTAAATAATCTTAATTAAAAATTACATTGAAATACTCAAGATAAATATAAATAAAATTCTTAAAATTTAATTCTTAATTTAACCTTCAAGTGTACTTATATTCTTATTATATAAAATAATCTCTATCAATACTTTTTCAATTTGATTTAAAAAATATGCACAAATAAAATTAAATTAAATAGTAACTATATAAAAATATTGAAGGTATCGTTTATATTTTAAAATTAAAGATTTAAATAATTAAAATTTTAAAATTAAAGATTAGCTAATAAAATTAAATAATATTCAATTAAATTTAATTAATCTCAAATAAATATTTAAAAATTTAAATTAAAAAGATAAAAATATATAAAATTATCATTTATCAATTATAGCTTTTTAAGTACATATTCTTCAATCTAGACTCCATATGGGCCTTGTGGGCTTCTAACAGTGTAACCTTTATTCCTGGACCCTTATTGAAGCTTTCTTGACCTTCTAAGTGGATCTTCATGTTCATACACATGTATAGGCTTTTTGGGCATCCATTTGGGTTTTGAATAAGTTTGATTTTCATTCTGAAACTCTGATGATTCATTAGACAATGCATCTGGTCCCAAATTCATCAGCATATTAAAGTTCCATTAGGTTGGTAAAACCAAAAGTTCCATTGGACTCCTCTATAGTATTCGGCATGTGAAGACTAAATACACCCTAATAATACGAATTTGGTACACAAAGTCAGTGGCAATAGAATCATTGCTGCAAAATGGGCATTAAATGATATTCCATTACGTCATAATCTCAACTCCTCCACTAAATCTGTTGATATCTTAAAGATGGCACTTGTCTTAGCTCAATTACACGTATATGGCCACTAGTATAATAGGTCTCGCACTAGAATTTGTGTATATAAGCAGACACATAATGCATTTTTCTGTACAGAAGAAGCAAAAAGTGTGAAATCCTAAAACCATGGGATCTCCAAGTCCAAGGTTTCTGTTCTTGTTGGTTTATGTGTTTGTGTTACTTTCGGTTTCATCAACTTCTTCGTTTACAATACAAGAAAGCTTCATTCATTGTCTTGGAGCACATTCTCAGAATCCAATCCCATTTTCGACATCCTTTTACACTCCCAACAATGCTTCATTCACTTCAATCCTTGAATCCGCAGCTCAAAATCTAAGGTACTTGCTGCCTTCAATGCCCAAACCTGATTTCATATTCACTCCATTGGAGGATTCTCATGTTCAAGCCGCTGTCATTTGTGCAAAAACGCTCAACATTCACATGAGAGTACGCAGTGGAGGTCATGACTATGAAGGCCTTTCTTATGTTTCTCTTGTTGAGAAGCCATTCATGATCTTAGATCTTGTCAAGCTCCGTGCCATCCATGTTGATGTTGCACAAAACATGGCATGGATTCAAGCTGGGCCAACTATTGGAGAAGTTTACTATAGAATTTCAGAGAAAAGTCAAGTCCATGGCTTCCCTGCAGGCATTTGCACAAGCTTAGGCATTGGTGGTCACATAACAGGAGGTGCATATGGCTCCATGATGAGAAAGTATGGCCTTGGAGCTGATAACATCATTGATGCACGAATCGTGGATTCTGATGGCAAGATTCTTGACAAAGAAGCCATGGAAGAAGACCTATTTTGGGCAATTAGAGGAGGAGGAGTTGGAAGCTTTGGGATAATTCTATGGTGGCAGATCAAGCTAGTTCAAGTTCCACCTATAGTGACAGTCTTTACTGTTACTAAAACTTTAGAGCAAAAGGCAAACAAGATTCTTTATAAATGGCAGCAAGCAGCACCAAACATTGATGAAAATATATTCATTAGGGTCCTGATTCAGGTAACAAATTCCAGTACTGTGGGCAAGAAAACCATATCAACTTCTTATAATGCTCTATTTCTTGGAGGGGTTGATAGCCTCCTCCAAGTGATGAAGAGAAGTTTTCCTGAATTGGGTATAACCAAAAAAGACTGTTTGGAAACAAGTTGGATCAAATCTGTGGTTTACATGGCTGGCTATCCAATCTCCACGCCACCAGAAATTCTTCTCCAAGGGAAATCCATTGGCAAGACATACTTCAAGGCTAAGTCAGATTTTATGAGGCAAGTGATTCCTGAAATTGCATTGAGTTCTCTATGGAAAAGGTTTTTGCTGGAAGAAAGCGCCTTCATGATTTGGAATCCATATGGAGGAATGATGAATAGAATACCAGAATCTACAAGGTTATTGTGACTCTGATTGGGGAGCTTGCACATACACTCGTCGATCAGTGATTGGGTATATTATCAAAATGGGAGGCGCACCTATTGTATGGAAGTCAAAGAAACAAACTACGGTGTCTCACTCTTCTGCTAAAGCAGAGTACAGAGCTTTGGGGAGTGCTGTATCAAAAGTTGTGTGGTTGACAGGACTTTTAAGAGATTTAAAGGTTGATAATGTACTTCTTGTTTTGGTAAATTGTGACAATGAAGCAGCAATTCAAATAACTTCTAATCCAGTCTTTCATGAACGGACAAAACATATTGAAATTGATTGTCATTTTGTTCATGAAAAACTTTAGGAAGGTTTAATTTCATTGCAACATGTTTCATCATTAGAACAACAAGCAGACATATTCACTAAGGCCCTAAGTGCATTGGGTCATAAGAGGATGTTGATCAAGTTAGGAACTATGAACATCTTGGGTTCTAACTTGAGGGGGTGTGTAGAAAAATAATAGTGTCTCATCAATATTGTTGGGCTTCGAATATTGGGCCAAGAGTTGCTTGGTTTGGGATTGTATAGTGTATTGTATAGATATAGCGTGGGTTTTATTGTCTTTGTTCGTGTTGCTTTCTTTTGGATTACACACACACACACACACACACACACCCAGTGTGATTGTAAAGGTGCATAAGGAATATTTGATCCATTGGATCCAATAAAAGAATGTTATTCAGCAATATTGTGTTTCTCTATATTTTCATAAAAATATATATTGTTTTTCTTTTTTACCCTTAATTCCAATTATTAATACACTTCATGATGAGTAAGAGATAAATTTACACAATAATCTAAATTAATAAATACAAGGGGTAAAGTAGGAAAAAAAATTTGCATCTACTATGTTGTTTATATTTTGAATCAAGATTATTTAATCTGAAGGAAACATTTTTATATTTTGGATGGAAGGGAGTAACTAATTAAACAAAATCCTTTAACTAATGAATTTCATTTATAATAATTTTGAAATTGTTAAATATATTAACTAACTTTAACTGAATTCAATAGTGCACGTAAAGTTGTGATTAGTTAATATGTTTTGTAACAAAGACCAGATATTTTAAATCTAACTGTAGTTTGGCTCTATCAAGTTCAAGGTTGGGTTCTTTAACGAATTTTAGATCTAGTTGTTGTCTGTTAATTCAATGCACTTGCGCAAAATTAATGATTTGATCACTACTTGCACGACCTTACATGGTGGGAATCGAGATCACAAATAGCAGAATCCTAATAATTCCCTCTTTGTAATAATTAGTTGGAGATCAACGCCGCGTTTTTTGTCTCACTCAGCTCCTCTTTCAATTCAATGAACTCAGCGAAAATATCTAGACAAATTAACAGTTCAAACGATAGAAGATAAAATTCAATTACCAAATCTTTCTTTTTGGTTTTCCTAAAGTTATAGGGACCCATTTTGACTTTCCCAGTGGTTACTTATCCACTGACCACGACTTCATTGACTGACGGTGCAAAACAAATAAATCTTCTACACAGGACACTTTTAACATTAATTATTCAAATTGAATTCGTTTACTTAGACTTCTTCTACTTGCCACAATACGCAACGCATCAGACCAACTAACTTTAAATGATGATTTTATTATTTATTCATTTTCAATTAATGAATAGAGTGCAAGTCATGAAGCAAATTCTAACAATTTAATATTTTGGATATGTGGATGCAAAGGAGTTAAAAACGCCAAAGTTTTGTTTGATTTCTAGAACATCTGTGACTTGTTGAAACAAACAAAACAAAAATCGTTTATGAAGATCATCATCATCATCATCATTGAAAACACATATGAAGAAAATAATGTAAGACATTTCCAGTGTTCTTCCAGTCAATACGGTGAGAGAGAGAGAGAGAGAGAGAGAGAGAGAGACACCATATATAGCTCGATGTTTTAACAATGTGGTAAAGGAAATAGTTCATATGCATAATTATTATTGCCATTTAACCTTGAATGGTTCAAATTTAAGCCATAAAAATATTGCACAATATATATACACGATTATATTGTTTGAATAGCTTTATGTCAAAGAATTGTTTTGATCCATGGCTTTATACCACACGGTACATTATGTAGAAGAATGATTTTGGTAAAACCAAAGAGGAAGAATTATCTCAAATTTATTGACTATGAAAATTAAGCATCCACAACATCTCTGGTCAACGGGGCTTTACATACCATACGTGACAATGCATTTTTGGTTAATGGCTATACGTTATTGTTGTAAAGAAAGAATTTGTAAAAACTACAGGTTTGGCGGACAAAGTTGTGTTTGCGAAATTGTATTGAATAATAGTCTATAAAGTTCTGTAATAACTCCCCTGCTAAATTTATATCTTAAAGACGAACTAGTCATTGCTTAATTTACTTCAATAATCTTAATCTTTGAAAATCTTATTATTTAATATTGTAATTTATTTTATGTAAAATTTTTTTATCTATATTAGTTAATATTTAAAAATTATTTTATTTTAAGTAACAAAAATACCCACTGCATCACACTATGGCGCAGTAATTCCATGTATCTTCCATATTTTTATGTTTCATTATTTGTTATTTTAATATATATATATATATATATATCTCACGTATTTCTCCATGAACCACAATCTTTAGTATAGTAATGCCACGTGTCCTTTTTGTTTTTACGTTTAATTATTTATAATTTTAACCCTGATATCACATTGTGTATATATATTGTGTATCTTTTACTATCTTCATTCACTTTTTCTATTTATATGGGTTATAGATTTTATGTATGAATTTATTCCTAATTCAATGCAAAGGGTTCCGTCATTCCCTTTCACTAGCTATAAATGTAATTGTAAATACATGATATAATTTTGTCTAAAGAATAATATTTAAACTAATCTAATTTTTAATTCAAATTCTACATTGATACCAATAACTTTGGTCTCTAGGGTTAAGTTTTAAAGTTTGATGTTGGTTTAGAGGTTTCCAATTCGATTATTGTTAAAGAGGAGGAAGATGATGAGAAGATAAATGAGAAATTCTAAAATTCTACATTTTATTGTAAATTAGCAAATATCTCTTGTAAACCATTTTTTAAATCATGGATGAGATTAACAAACTTTTAAACCACTTTACTAAAAGATCTTAGGTCTTATTTTGGATTTCCAAATTTTTGGTCCTTTAATGTCACTCCCATAATATATATTTTTTTAAAAAAAAGTAGGGCACTGCCTGACAAGCGCTACCTCAAGTGATATACGAATTAATAATGCTACCCCTAATCAATATTTTGGATTGTTTTGACTAATATGTCCGATATAATAGTCATAACAATATATCCAATCCGAAGCTCACACAAGACCTAATATTTGAGTTTGATGGGTTGTTTCTTCAAAGGGGTTGGGCCATATTATATTCATGTTGACTAGTGGAATTGATCTATAAGAAATGCTATGTATATAGCAGATATTCATGTTTAACAATTACGATGACTTTGATATTTAATTAAGAGGCAAGTCTGTGGCGATCATGCCTTTAATTTAGAATCTTCATCATTTATCTACTGGATATGCTGACAGTAGTGTGTTATTATATTGTTTGTGGCAAAGAAGAAAGTTGAATGAAGAAAGGCAGTTGAGACACGCATTCAGACTCATGAATGAAGACTGGGAGATTAAGGTTGGACATGTCTACTGGGAAAGTAATAGCAAAAATTACATCTAAGTTCCACATAACCTATTATCAAAAGGTTCTATAAAATTCACAAGCATTAACAACAAAGCAATGGCCATTTATAACTTGTAGCCTAATTGTCAATGCTTTTAATCAAGTTGTAAATGCTCAAGATTTGAGATTTAAGAGTATTTTATAAATTTTATAGGACTTCTTGATAATAAATTCTCTTATGTGAAATTTAGATGTAATTTTCCCAACATAATAGGTGCGTTGATTGGCTCGCAAAATTCAATATCAAGTGGAGTTATAAGCATGTACTACTATTTTGTCAGAGCTTCCTATAGAGAGCTCTTACAATGGCTGCATTGAGATGTTGAGGGGTTTTCGTATCCTCATATTATTTTTAATTAGTTAATTTAGTTTGGGCTTTGCCTTGTTTTTAATAAAAAGAAGAAGAAGAAGAAGAAGAAAAACATAGTAGAAGAGGAAGCTTGTTTCCCCTCCATCTTGTATTTCTGTAAAAGTTGCAGATCTAAAATTGAGCTTATTATATCTTTCTAGCTATGAATGTGGCGACACTTATTTTGTTCTTATAAAAATCGTAGATCTAAAACATTAATTTTTCTCTAAATGTCCTTTGCTTTAATATTTTTTTTACTCCCTTTAATTCAAAACATAAGCAGTTTTTTTTAAAAAAATTTGTATACCGATTAAGTTTTTATTTTCATAAAAATGTATATTATTTTCTTTTTTTTTACCCTTAGTCCTAATTATCAATACACTCCATGATGAGAGAAAGATAAATTTATACAATGATCTAAATTGTTAAATATAAGGGGTAAAATAGAAAAAAATTTTACATGTAATATGTTGCTTATATTATGAATCAAGATTACTTAATTTGAAGGAAAATTTTAATATTTTGGAGGGAAGAAAGTAACTAATTAAATAAAATCCTCTAACTAGTGAATTTCATTTATAATAATTTTGAAACGTTAAATATATTAACTAACTTTAACAGAATTCAATATTGTGTGTGTAAAGTTGTGATTAATCAATATGTTCTTGTAACAAAGACCAGATATTTTAAATCTAACTATAATTTGGCTCTATCAGGTTTAAGGTTGGATTCTTTAACGACTTTTAGATCTAGTTGTTGTCTGTTAATTGAATGCACTTGTGCAAATTAATGGTGTGATCACTACTTGCACGATCTTACATGGTGGGACTCGAGATCACAAATAGCAGAATCCTAATAATTCCCTCTTTGTAATAATTAGTTGGAGATGTCTTCAACGCTGCGTTTTTTGTCTCACTCTGCTCCTATTTCAACTCAATGAACTCAATGAAAATATCTAAAAAAATTAACAGTTCAAACAATAGAAAATAAAATACAATTACCAAATCTTTCTTTTTGGTTTTCCTAAAATTATAGGGACCAATTTTGACTTTCCCAATTATCAATTATCCACTGACCACGACTTCATTGACTGACTGTGCAAAACAAATAAATCTTCTACATAGGACACTTTTAACATTAATTATTCAAATTGAATTCGTTTATCTAGACTTCTTCTGCTTGCCACGATACATAACTCATCAGACCAAGTAACTTTAAATGATGATTTTATTATTTATTCATTTTCAATTAATGAATAGGGTGCAAGGCATGAAGCAAATTCTAGTAATTTAATTTTTTGGGTATGAGGACGTAAAGGATTTAAAAACGCCAAAGTTTTCTTAATTTCTAGAATATCAGTGACTTGTTAAAACATACAAAATAAAAATCGTTTGAAAGATTATTATTAATATGTATTATATAATATTCTAGAAAACACATATTGGATGAGTGACAACTATATTTGAAGAAGATAATGCAAGACATTTCCCCTAGAATAAGTAATCAACCAAGACAATAAACAAACCAAATTGTCAGTGCTCTTCGAGCCAATACGGTGTTAGAGGGAGAGAGTAGAGACACTATATATATATATATATATATATATTTATATATATAGCTCGATGTTTCAATAATGGGAAAACGGAAACAGTATATCAGCATAATTATTATTACCATTTTAACCTTGAATGGTTAAAATTTGAGCCATAGAATTATTGCACAATATACACGATTATATTGTTTGAATGGCTCTATGTCAAACAATTGTTTTGATCCATGGCTTTGTACACCACGTTACATTATGAAGAAGAAAGATCTTGGTAAAACCAAAAGGGAAGAATCATCACAATTTATTGACTATGAAGATTAAGCATCCACAACATCTATGGTCAACAGGGCTTTATATACCATACGTGACAATACATTTTTGGTCAATGGCTACTACAAGTTTGGCAGACAAAGTCATATATGTGAAATTGTATTGAATAATTGTCTATAAAATTCTGTAATAACTCCCCTGCCAAATTTACATCTTAAAGGCGAACTAATCATAGATCAATTTACTTCAGTAATCTTAATCATTGATAATATTATTAGTTAATATTGCAATTTATTTTACGTAAACTTTTTTCATCTATATTAGTTAATATTTAAAAATTATTTCATTTTAAGTTACAAAAATACCCCTTGCATCACACTACGGTATGGCTTATTCCACATGTCTTTCATATTTTTATGTTTCATTATTTATTATTTTAACACACACACACACACACATATAAGAAAAAATATAACTTTTAATCCCTGCATTTTGCTCATGTTTTACTAATGATTCCTACAGTTTTTTTATATTTTAAGTCCTTAAATTTTTATTTTTTATTATTTTATGTCTTTTTGTGAACAAAGTGTAAGAACCTTGAGGGAACTTAAAATAATAAAAAATGTAAGGACCAAAAATATTAAAAAAATATAGAGATCAAAAATAAAATACGAGCAAAGTGTAATGATCAAAATTATATTTTTCATATATATAATTATCTCTCTCCATTAACCACAATCATAATACTACGTGTCCTTCATATTTTCATTATTTATAGTATATTTTAATCCTGATATCACGTTGAATATATTGTGGATCTTTTCCTATCTACTTTCACTCTTTGCCATGCATGTGGGTTAAAGGGTTCCACCATTGCCTTTCACTATAAATTTCCTTTTACAATATACTGTAATTGTAATTACCGTTTGTAATTTTTTTCCTACTTATTTGTAGGTTATGTATTTTATAACTTCATTCTGCATAGGTTTTATATGTCATTAGATCGAAATATTTCATATATGTGTTTCTTCAAATATATCAGTTATGTTAACTATTTTTAATGAATTGTCTTTATTCTAAGTTTCTAGATATTATCTGATGTATCAAAATAAATAAAGTTAATATTAAAAATAAATTTATAACTTAATATAAAACATATAACCATAGTTGCATGCTTTAAATTTAGTAAAGATACATGATTTCAAAATTATTGTTTTGGAATTATGATCTCTTGGACTTGATATTTATTTATATATTATTTAGAGCAAGTTCTTTTAAAATTAAAATGAATAAGCTAAATAATCATTCAAAAAATTAAATTCAAAAAAAAAAGTGATGTAAAATTAATTTTTGGCTTAAATTAATTGGCTTAATCATTTTCAATTTTTTCAAAATTAATATAATTTCAAGTTTTTCCTTATCTTTTATAAATTTATTTTGAAGACTACTTTAAATTTAATTCTCTTAATTGTATCTTAATTATAATTACAAAAAATCTACACAAAAAAATCATATGCATCGCAAATTATTTTATTCAATTTAAGAGTTAATATGAAACATTATTATAATAATAATTATTTTTAATTTGGAATCACCTAATCAGCCTATGCTTTGAAATATCAACAGGTAGAATTAGGAAATTTAGTTTAAAACTTATTCCCACTTGATAACATTTTATATTATGAATAATTATTAAGTATTATTATTTACTTAAAATTATTTTTTTAATTTCTTACGCAACCGCGCGTGAATCGCATTGCTTCATGTCAAAAATTGTTTTGGTCGATGGCTTTATACCACACGTTACATTATCATAAAGAAAGATTTTGGTAAACCGAAAATGAAGATTAATTTTATCAAAAATTTATTGACTGAAAATTAAGCATACACGACATCTCAGGTCACTGGGATTTATTAATATGGTTCAAAATTATTCTATATAAGTGGACAGAAAATGCTGTTTTATGCACTGAAAACGGAAATGGGTTCTCCAAGGCTGCTTTTATTATTGATTTCTGTGTTTGTGTTACTTTCGTTTTCATCAACTACCTCAATCCCAGTTCCAGAACATTTCACTCAATGTCTTGAGGCGAATTCTCAGAACTCAATCCCAATTTCCACCACATTTTTCACTCCTGACGATGGTTCATTCACTACAATCCTCGAATCCACAGCTCAAAATCTAAGGTACTTGCTGCCTTCAATGCCGAAACCCGAATTCATATTCACTCCATTGGAGGATTCCCATGTTCAAGTTGCTGTCTTCTGTGCAAAAAAGCTCAAAATCCATATGAGGGTGCGCAGCGGAGGTCATGACTATGAAGGAATTTCTTATGTTTCTCTCATTGAGAAGCCATTTATGGTTTTAGATCTCGCCAAGCTTCGTGCCATCCAAGTCAATATAGCACAAAACACAGCTTGGGTTCAAGCCGGTGCTACCATTGGAGAAGTTTACTACAGAATTTCTGAGAAAAGCCCAGTCCATGGCTTTCCTGCAGGCGTTTGTACAAGCTTAGGAATTGGTGGTCACATTACAGGAGGTGCATATGGCTCCATGATCAGAAAGTATGGACTTGGTGCTGACAACGTCGTGGATGCACGAATTGTTGATGCCGATGGCAAGATTCTTGATAGAAAGGCCATGGGCGAGGACTTGTTTTGGGCAATTACAGGAGGAGGAGGAGGCAGCTTCGGGATAATTTTATGGTGGAAAATCAAGCTTGTTCAAGTTCCGCCTATAGTGACAGTTTTTTCTGTACCAAAAACCTTAGAACAAAATGCAAGCAATATTCTCCATAAATGGCAGCAAGTGGCACCAAACATTGATGAGAATCTGTTCCTTATGGTTCAAACACAGGCAGCAAATTCTAGTACTCAAGGTGAAAGAACTATATTAACTTCTTATATTGCTCTTTTCCTTGGTAGGGCCGATAGGCTTCTCCGATTGCTGAAGAAAAAATTTCCAGAGTTAGGTCTCACCAAAAAGGATTGTTTAGAAACAAGTTGGATCAAATCTGTGCTTTACTTAGCTGGTTTTCCAAACACCACATCCCCAGAAATTCTTCTCCAAGGGAATCCCCCCATTCCCAAGGGATACTTGAAGGCCAAGGCAGATTTCATGAGGCAAGTGGTTCCTGAAACTGCACTGAATTCCATGTGGGAAAGGTTTATGCAAGAAGATCAGCCCTTGATGATTTGGGTTCCATATGGAGGAATGATGAGTAGAATCTCAGAATCTGCAACTCCATTTCCTCATAGAGATGGAGTGCTCTTCTTGTCACAGTATGTAGCTAGGTGGCTAGACGGAGAAAAGAGCATGGAAAAGCACATGAGTTGGGTTAGAGGATTCTATGACACCATGGCCCCTTATGCTTCAAACCTTCCGAGAGAGGCTTATGTGAATTACAGAGACCTTGATTTGGGGATGAATCAATTGAATAAAACAAGCTTCTTGAGGTCAAGCACCTGGGGATTCAAGTACTTTAAGGATAACTTTATAAGGTTGGTGAAGGTGAAATCTAAGGTTGATCCAAGTAATTTCTATAGGCATGAGCAAAGCATCCCTCCATTGCAAATTGGGGAGTAAAAAGTTTTAAACCAGTGAAAATTTGTATGGTATAATTTGTATGGTTTGTGCATGCATTCGTGTAAGATCCAAATAAGTCTGCAAACTATTTTCTTCAGTGCTCTAAATTGTGAATGCAATGTTGTGTGAATGTGATACTGATTGTTAATTCCTATTATTACTAATTGACGTTGGTGATGATCTTAATAGAAAGATTATATATATATATATATATATATTACTGATAGCGTCTCACAAGCATACAAGAACATTGTAACAACATTTGTAGAGTATTCTGATGTTGAACTTATGGAGAGGTGGCGCTTTTACTGCTCCCAATTAATTAATAGTAGAGAGTGAAATAGAGAGAGTAAAAAATTTGATAGGAAAAGGGCCGAGAATAGTATAATAACACATGATAATTGATTTGAGAATAACACAATTAAAGATGTCATCTTCATGATTGAAAATTTGAATTACAACCCAAGACTATAACACTTATTTGATTCTCTATCATGGTAGAAAATGATTCATCTATTATAGTAGAAAAGGAACAACCTAACTCTATCTTGGTAGAAAAGGTGATAACTAAAGGTCCACAACGATATAAATCCCTGCTCTTCTAACGTGAACCTATTATGGTAGAAAAGTTTTCAAGCAATCATAGAAGGCTACCATTGTAGAAAAAGGCTAAAAAATCATCTATAGCAATTAAAGCTATCTACTATAGTACGAAAGGAGTGCACCCTTAGTGCAAAACTCCCATAGTAGGAGAGGATATATCAAACATACAATTAGACAGAAGTCATGCAAAAAATAAATAAATAAATAAATAAACCTGTCATGCAAATCCACAGGAAAATCTAGCACAATTCATATCAATCCCGTAATGTAGGCTTTGCGTACTCTTACATACTTTCAACTACTTAGAGATCTCTGCTTTCATAGGCAACGAACATGCAACAGTTAATCATAATCTTCTTAAAATTGGCTCCACATATATACGATTTGCACTCTAGCAACCATTCCCTAACCACAAGGTCTAGAAGCTAGGATTTATTCAAAAGAACAACAATATAAATAATAGAGAAATATATGTGTGCGTGAACAACCCTAATTGGCAGCAGAGGCAGTCTCGGTTCATGAGGACTCTACTTCTCATGAAGTCTCAAGTCCTTTCAACCATTCCCTACCCTTAGCTATGCATTCATCCCTAAAAAACAAAAGGGAGTATCAATGGTCAATCGAAAACTTGACCAGTAGGTTTTCACAAACGTCTTAAACAAGTCGATAACTCAATAAGCTCATAACAAGTGAGTCGACTAGAATACTTGAGTAGTAATCATTTTGTCATGTATTAATAGAAAGATATGACAGAGTGATAACCACCAAGCATATTCAACATCCATATTCCCTTACTCAATTAATACAATAGTCACAGAATATATATCATACATTAGTCAACACTAATAGGGTTCTCGATTCCAATGGTTAACAGTACACAATAGACAAAATTAAATATGATACTATATTAGTCATTGACAACAAGGTTCTCAATTCCAACAGTTATCATGTAGCATATCGATTAGTTTCAATATTAATTCCATCCTTATGTCCCATGTTCTCATCCTTTAGACCTCATAACTCATTAATTAATTCTCTATACCTCAATTAACTCTTTTAATTTTAAAATTAATGGTAATTAATTATCATTACTTAAGAATTGAAAACCTAGGATTTTACATAAGGACCCCAATATGTAGTCGATGGAGATCAAAATCAAGATATTGGTAGAACAAAGAAATTGAACCAAAATGACAACAAACAAGAAGTTCAAACCTAGAGAAGCTTTTGTGTTGTTGTTACAGGTGATGGTTCATTGAGGCTAGAGGAATTCTAAAGGCTAAAGGTTGAAGCTTGATGATGGCTAGAAGATGAAGGTTGAAGCTACCAAATTGGTCGGAAAGGGCAAAATTGTGGACTATTGAAAAGAATCAGATTCTGGGTGAGCGAGGAATCCGTTTTCAATGTTTTTTTAGAATCAATCCTAACTTCCCTCTTTTATCTTACTTAAAAATGAAGCTATGCATTTTGTAACATTTCAAAAATTTAATGCAGGATTACATTATGTAATTAATAGCAAAATGGTAAATTAATGATTAATTATGGCATGATTTAATTAATGGATGACTACTGGGCTTATTGAATCCTTTGGAAGATTTGGATTTGGATGAAGGAAGGTACTGGCCACATTGGGCCCAATAGGCATGGACCAAATTTGGGCTTGACTCTCTATGTGCCTATTTGGATTGAGGGATTAATCGATTTTAGGGGCAAAAAAATGGATTAAAATAAAAGTTACCCAACACCAACTTCTTCCCAAAATTGATTTTTTGGAAAAAAAAAATCAACTTTTTCCCACAGCTGCATGATTTAGCTTCTCAACTTTTGCATTTTTACAAAGTTATATGAGAAAATTATATAGAAAGTTCAAAAAAAATTATAAAAAAGACACAAAATTTAATAAAAATAAAATAAAACTCTCTTCTCTTCTTTTTTTTTTCTTAGTAACATTCAAACTTTAGATACTTTAAAAAACTACTAGCATAAGTATTCAAATAAATTACGTTATAATATAATTAAAATCCAAACGGATATTATGTCATCCATCACAGCAGATGATTGTAGATTTGAAATATCATATACATGAGAGAATCATAGCACAAAAAAGAAAAGAAGAGAGATTAAGGGAGAAGGGTTTTGGTTCTGTTAGGGTTTAATATTTTCAACTAATTCAAGCCATTTGGAGATGTAAACCACTAGGGTAAGCTTCTAATAATCTTTTCCTCCCTCTCTAGCTAGATTTTTTATTGGGTTATGGTTGTTTGATGGTGAATTGCAAAAAATCAGTGTAAATGTTTAGAGTGTTGCAAAAGTAACTATACATTGCTTGGAAATGAGTGCAAGTTTGGAAATGCAAAGGCTCTGAAGAACAAAGTGAGGAGCAAGGTAATCAATCTAGATGGCCTAGATCAAGGAGATATTTAGATTTGATTGAGAGTCTGTTGAGTTGTGGTGATGATTATGTGTCTTTCTTGTGCGCCTCCCGTATATTACATGCTCAAGCTGTCACTCCATGAAGGCAACCATAACTATTCACGACTTCCGTAGGAGCCAGGAATTCCGTGGTGAGGGAGAGTACCTCACTCAGGGCTCTGCGTTTCTCGAGAAGGCGGGTGTGTGGGTTGGACCGGGTCGTCACTCCATAAAATGTTGTGTAATGCACTCAGGTCCAGCCTTTGTGGGTTTGGCTTGGCCGAGCAATAATTAGTCTAGCCTAAAGATTAATTTCGGTCCAAACACGTTCATTCCATTATCTGTTTATTGGTTAATACTCATTGTTTAGTGCACATGGATATACCGTTAATGATGTCAATGTTTAGCTCCATGTACCTCTTTTTTCTTTTTCAATTTCTCTTCCAAGTCTAATTATATATAGATGTCATTTCAGTATATAGCAATACGTTTCATGAAAACAAATACTCCCTCCGTTCAAATACTCCCTCATTTTATCATGAAAAATAAAATAAATAGAGGCTATGTTACATTCTGAATCTCATTTTTCAGTATATCATGACAGGTTTTCATGGAAAAAAAAATATTGTCCCCCCATGTTTCAATTTCTAGGATGTAAATTTATCTGAATATCTATTATTGTTATCATGAAAATGAATAAACGGAGGCTATGTTACATTCTGAAATCTCATTTGTTAAGATATCATGATAGGCTAATGAAAAATATGGTCTCCTACATTTCAATCTCCAGGATGTAAATTTATTTGAATATCCATTTCTATTATCACAAAAAATGAATAAATAGAGTCTATTTTACGTTATGAAACCTCGTTTTCAGGTTATCCTAAAAGGTTTTCATGGGGAAAAAAAAAACATGTTGTCCATGTTTCAACGAAATGCAAGAGTCTTTTGTCAAATACAATTTTCTTCCATTATATACAATACTCTCCTGTTAGGGGCAAATTTATTCCATAGATGCAAAAATCCTTGAGTTAGATGAAATACTTTGTCAAAAAGTAGCATATATGTCCTCAGGTGCAATACATCTCCCGCAAAATGCAAATATCTTCTACTATATTGAAGGGTCATCTATTGGCGCACATTTTCTTTATCTATATGCAAGGTCCTTTTATGACATGCAGTACTTTCCCACCAAGTATATATTTCTTTCATAAATACAAAAATCCTTCCGTCATGTGCAAAACTTCATCACAAGTTGGCATATGTCCTTAGGTGCAATATATCTTCCATGAAATGCAATTCTCTTCTATCCATAATGTCTTTCATTGGCACACATTTTTTTCATCCACAGTGTTTTTCCATGATATGCAATACTCTCCCACTAGGTGCATATTTCTTGCATATTTCATGAAAACTTAGCCTCTATTTCATCATTTTTCATGATAACGAGAATTTATATTTGAATAAATTCACTTCCTAGGAGATTAAAACATTGAAAAACATCTTCGTTTCTTCCGTGAAAACCTGTCATGGTATCTTGGAAAACGAGGTTCCCCAATGTAACGTAGCACCTGTAATAACTATATTTTCATGAAAACGTTTTGACATGTCCTAAAAATTCAGAAAATGATGTGTCTAAGAAAAACATATGTTTTGCATCTCACAGAAGGAAGTTCGATCATGTGAAAACATTTGTTTTCATTCAATTTGATTAGTATATCCTGAAAACTAAGTTTAACTGATTTAAAATAGCTTATGTTTCTTAAGCTTTCATGATATCCCATTGGTATATCCTAAAAAATGTCCACCTTCTCCCCCATCTCTTCGATTGATGTCTGTCTCTTCTTATCAAGTCCCTTCTATTTCTTCCCTTCCTTAATGTTCCTTCCCTCTTGATCATGGTACCTAAATACATGTTTGCTTCTCTTCCAAGAACTCGCAATATAACAAAGGATAAAAGACAGTTGCCAACCTTGTTAGAGGATTGATGACAATATAGACTTCTAATTTTTGAAATCTCTTGAAAGGACCAAGGTCCTTTGCTGCAGGTAAAAATGATTTCATTGGATAATACTCCGGCAATTCTGACTTTTTAAATAGTTCAAAAAAAAAACTTATGAACCATGCGGAGAATGTGATACAAATTTAAAACATCTTTATTTAAATAGAGGTAAAATTAAAAATTTATTTTATTTTTAAATAATTAATAAAGATGCCTTATAATAGAGACTGAAGAGAGTACTCCGCTTATTAGTAAATGGTACATTTTTAGAAATCAGTTGTAAATTTATAGATAATCATACTTCTAAAATTTAGAATAGTCACTTGTAAATTTTTGGATTGTTAATTATGAATTTATATGTATTTGTGAAACTAAAGACAACTGCTTGTGAATATTTTAAATTTCAATTATGAATTAATAAATAATCAATTGTAAATTTTTTAATTGTCAATTGTGATTTTATAATAGATAGTCCTTTGCCAATTCTTAAATAGTTAGTTGTGAATCTTTAAAAAGCCAGTGATAAATTTATAGACAGAATCTTTTGTTGCTTGTGAATTTTTGGATAATCAATTGTCAATTATGAATTTATAGATAGTTATGTGAATATCTAGTCCAATGAAGTCACTTCTAATTACAACAAAAGACTTTGTTCCTTCCATGAGATTTTAAAAATTATAAATATGTAATTATGATTAATCCATTAACAGGGTTTGCAACGGTTTTTTCCCCTATATTTGAGGTTAAATTTTGGACTTTTGAGATTGCTATTTTGGATCTACCTTTGAGGAATCTCACAAGGATTACCGCCTAAGCCATTATTCCTCTTTGGAGATATGCATGGTATGTTTCTGATATTGCTGCATCACAATTTTACATGTTACCATTAACAACATTGCTATCAATATTTTAATAACGTGTTTGATGGAATGAGACTTAGTAATAACATGAAGAAATTATAGAAGAATCAGCAGAGAGATAGGGAGAGGGAGAGACTATATTGGATAACAGGATGAGGAAAGTCTGATAATTAAATAATTGTCGTCTTCTTTTGGTTGTTCTTTTCTCCCGTTTTTTCCTTTTCCTTGTTAATATAACCATTTCATACTTCATCCATCTCATCTCAAGTTTATAAGAAACATTTAAAATAATCTAGTGTCTCAAAATATAAAACTCTTGAATTGCAAATCCTTAATTTTATTAGCTTGTGAGCGAGCAAATAGTTCAAATACTAATTAGTTAGTTGTCCTAATAACAACACCAGCTCCCTCCTTCATTTGAAAGAGGTCAAAGGTTCAATCTTAATGTTGACATGTTTGTTTGCAACCATGGATTTGTGTTTCTCTTTAGGAAGGGGTAGGTTAGGGGTTAAAAAAAAAAAAAGTCACTGATACGGAGTGCTGATGTTCCCGCGCGGTTAGGTATTGGGCTAACTGAACGAGTTTCTCACTTAAATCTGATGAATAATATATAATAACACTATTACATTGTTCAACTGCATAATGGAGGCACCATTAAAATTAGCACAGGATGGGCATAGTGAACCTCCAAAACATCAATTGAGAGCAAAATCCAACTGCCAGAAAAAGCAGCAACCTCTACAGCTGCATTTTGCCTGAACTCTGAATTTAATTTTTAATTTTGCTGCGAATAACCAAATAATGGTAGGGACATTGGCAGCAAATCTAATTTATGCACCACCTGCTGGTGATGGAGGCAGCGTCCCAAAGATCCGATCCCACAGTGGGGAAGTGATCCCAAAGCCTTTGTTCTGGATACGAAAATGATGGTTCAAGTGGTACTTCTGCAACATCAACAATGGAAAATTGATTATTATCTTTTGGTATACCAGAAAACTGCAAAACTTCCTTTGCATCGTCGGTCCTTTTGGTGGCATCCAAAAAATTGAAACTCGGGATTTGTTTGATTGCTAGAAAAGATGAAAATGGTATAAATTAAAAAAATCAAAACAAAAAAGAACTAAATTATCATCCATCATAGTAGACATGATAAAATCTCACGTACCACAAATATGGAAATCCTCATGTCCTCTACAAACCTCACGAATCATAACTCTCAATTTCATAAACTAAATTACCCTTCCCTCTCATGAATATGATTAATGTATCTCTTCCAAATTTTGATCATTTTGTTTTTGCCTTTTTTTTTTTAATCTATTCTATTCACATCCTTTTTAACAACCAAACAGGCTCTTAATCTAGAAGTCATACTATTAAAACCAAAAACCATCCCCCTCAAAAACTGCTTTAAGATTTATACCCTTTTGTTTATTTAATGTTAACCTTGTGAGCAGTAGCAAATACCTGCCACTTGAGAAACTCACGTTTGTCATGGCGTATTTCTATTCATCAAGAAAAAAAGAAATAACTATTCGAGCTAGTTCATCTGTTCATGTTGTGGTAAATGAGGAAATAGACCAAAGAATTCGAATCTTATTTTATAAAATACAACAAAATGTTGAGTCAGACGCAGCAATTCTGGAAATATATGATACCTGATGCTTGGCATGACAGATTGACATCCACAAACATACTACACTGCCCCTGCATCTATGTATATATGCTACAAATGGAGTGGGAATACCAAAAATAAGAATCAAGAGAAAACATTAACAAAGCCGAGTGCTGAGGATGAAACTAGCTAAAAATTCTTCCGATTATGGAGTATGATATCAGAGCATTTGACTCATTTAAGGAGCCCAGAAGATAAGGTTTGAAAATAATGTGTCTATGTCCAGAGTCTGAACTAAGGGTGCCAGTCCCTAATCAAATATCTAAAAATGTTTTAAATGCAAGTTCAGATAAGCTTAACACATCTGTTAAATGGTAAGCTACAAAAATAAATAAATAAATATTCCTAGATCAAAATTAATTCTAGCTGGGGGAAACTTCCAAAGATGCTCACTCATCAACCCCTAACTATCAAACATCAACTAGTACCCCATTGATCCATTAAACTTTATTTGTGTTAGCAGAATTCAAACTTTTATTAAAACAGGAAAAGAAAAACAATCACAATAGTAATAACTATTTGATCAAAATTTTATTACAGTTTTTATTAAAAAAATTTTGATCCATCAAACTTGATTATTTCAACTTACATTAAAACATTTGGGATGTTAAGTAACATGTCTGATAAATAGTGATCTATAATAAAAACATCCCCAGATCAAAATTACTAAGGTAGCCACTTGGTTATTATGGCGTTTAATTGAAATCAATAGTTACAAGAGGAAGTGCTTTTACCTTGAGATTTTTGGGTGCATGACTCTTTGGCTGACCATGATGCAAGAAGTAATGGGTGCAATCATACATCACATAACCCAATAAACAACCACCAAGCAATGCCGGAGCAGTCGAAGGGGTCGATAAGAGCTTGATTAAGTTCCAGAACTGGACAAAGCAAACAAATCAATTGACACAGCCTTTTATATGCAAGAAACCTACTACTTGATTAAGTTCCAGAACTCAAAAAAGGAAACAAATCAGTCGACACAACCTTTTATGTACAAGAAAGGAGTATATCAAGTGAAAGGAGTAATCTTTATGAGACATCAAACAGAAAAGAAATGACATCACAAATTAGCAGTCAAAATCAATGCACAAATCATTCACGTAAAAGTCAAGGAAGTTATTATAATACAATTATGACAATATTGACAATAGTCTTGGGCATTAATTTGTGATCTAACAGTAATTACTTGATCCTCTCATTTTATACATACTCCCTTGCATGATTATCAATCTATGAACTGTCAAAGACAAAACATTCTATCCAATTATCAGGAATGAATTGAGCTTTTAGTATTTGGCCCCAACAAAGGGGGTCAGGAAGAAGTAAAACCACATACTTTTCATATAAAATGGAAAAAAGGGGTCAAATTCTTAAGAATTAAAGGAGTTATTGCAGAAAGGACATACCGGTACAAGCAATATAGCTGTTGCAGCAGGGGGGAAAACAAGTCTCAAGCCGTCCATGGGGTGCTTGTGGTGACAGCCATGAATAAGATAATGCATGGTATTTCCCCTAAACCAGATAATCAGCCAAAGTAAATAAACAAACCAAAATAGTTTCAGTGTTCTTCGAGCTGTTAAGAAGTTTGTCCACCTATGCATCCAAATAGAAAGAAAAATAACAAAATACGGCACAAGAAAAAATGGAGGGTAGCACAAGAAGAGAGAGAAAGGGGGGGGAGGTAGAGATCTACCAATAGCTCGAAGTTTTGATGTGGAAAAGGAAACGGTGTAAAGTGTATTCAGCCAATGTCCAAATGAAAAGGCCAAGGACCACCAGGAGAGCTACATGAGAGGGTGTAAGGCCCATTCTTGCAGAGACAGAGATAGAATAACATACAACTGGCAACCAAATAGCTGGAACAGCCCACCAGACTGTGCGCGTCAAGAACTGTTACATGCAGTTAACAAGACACCAAAAACCATAATATCTCAATATATTAAACATAAAGAAATCTTCATGAGTAAGTGTGAACATATGACCTTAAGGTAGTTTTACTTTCCATGTATAGTTACAGGTTATACCTCCATAAAATCACTTTCAAAAAATCGAGGTCCTTCCTTGCTAACAATTGGCTGGTGAACCCACTCTTCATAAGCTTCTCCAAGATGCCCAACCTGTAAAAAAGTTTTATAATAGTCAGATTCATGTTTTGAGTCCTGTTTATTTAAATTATTCATTGTTCAAGTAAATTATACATAATTTGGATTGTATAGTCCTTATCTGCAACTTTCCTAGCACATGTATTTCTCAATTTTCAGCCTTTGAAATGGCTATGATCTTCCAATTTCAATCTTTTTAACCCCTAGGTCGATTTTAGACAAATTCTTCATCTTAACAACCTTTAAAAAATTATGGCAAAACAGGATAAAAACACTTCCCGCACCTGGAAGACAAGGGGCTTGTTAAGATCAACTACAAAATTCTCTGCAACCATCTTGGGACTGCAGATGAGGGCCAAACAAATTTTAAAAAAATTAGAATACAAGCAAGAATTTAATAATAAAAGCAATAGCTAAGTAAAAATTAACTTAGTAGCATTCATCTAATAGGTTAGGAAACCGATGAACTGTTTCACAGATCAGGTGGCATAGATTCTGACCTTTCCAAAACTGAAAGATATAGGGGTGTTAAAATCAAAATATTGTGTTGAAAGTTAACCAAGAACGCACAGTTGCAAATAAATATGATAAGTTAATGTATCATGCAGTACAAACTCCAAAGGATTACTGAAAAGAAATATGTCCTTTAAATTTTAATGCTTGTACGCATACGAAACAGAAATATATATAAACAAGTTCCTGAAAATCATAAAAATCAATAGAACCACCAAGCCTCGTATTATATTTCAATCAGATATCCAATCAAGCAGCAGAATGACAAGGCAAAAACGCAAACCGGCCAATCATAAATAGTTTACAGCAAACAAGACCCAGTACCACAAAAATTTCCAATGCACGTCACAAAAGAGCTAGAATGCTCTCCACACATAATGTCCATTGCAAAAATTCCAAGAACCCAACTCTTTCCCTAAAAGATAATCAAATGAAACCAAACCCAGATCTAGAAACTGAAATCGAAGGACAAACAAATAGAAAAAAGAAAAAAAATGAGTTATGCCGATAAACTTACAAGGGTGCAGGTTGTGCGGCGAGATCGAAATCAATGGGTTGCTCTGGCAGCTGATTTGTCTCGGAAGAACAACCACACCGCCACCTTTACCACCTTGCGCTGCCCAGGCAATTAATTGATTTGCCTCCGCAAGTGGTGCAGTGAGGGAGAAAAAGCATGATTGAATTTGAAAGAGAGAGAAAAGGGCATATATATTTAGAAGATGATGAGGACCGTCAATTTGAAACTCCAGGTTAAGGAATTCAGCCAACAGATTCAATCACGTGGGATTCGAACCGTTAACAGGCTGGAACTTTGCAAGGCCCACGCACGCCACCTTCTTCTTGAAGGCTCATGGCGCCACCACAAATCTAATATATACTCCTACATCTTACATAACCAACTCCTAACTAATTTGTCAAAAACAACATAAATTAATTAAAATAATATAATTGTCTTAAAATTAATTTTTTTTAATTTTAAATTTTAAATTTCAATAAAAATGATTTGACATATAGAAAGAATTTTTTTGAAATTGGAATGTGCATTCCTTTTAAAATGTGTGTGGAAGGATATTTTTGACATTGTGCATAAAAAATTACATAAAATAAGGAAAAACTAGATTGGCTTATTAGAAAATAAAGATCAAAATGATCTTCTAAAAGGTAACTAATAAATAAGAACAGAGGGGGAGTATAAGTCAATTCTAGTTATTTTTCAAAATTAAGAAAGATAATATAATTATTGATATTGTTTAAAAGAAGAAAACAACTTTTAAATTTATTCTTATTAAATTAAATAAATCATGACATTTTTCTCTGTTATATGCAACCTCTTAACATACTCATAAAATTAAAAAATTTAAAAAAAAGTAATTAATAGTTTATATTTGGATTAAAATATACAAAATTTTCTTAAATTTTAAAGTAGTTGTACAAAACCTTTCTCATCTTTAAAAATTTAATATTAAACTCCCTAACTTTTTATTTTTTATTTTTTTACAATAGACTCTCTTACTATTATTTTTTAGTTATCGTTTTAACAAAAGTTATCATGTTATGTTAAAAAAAAAAAAATAGAGATGCTTATGTGACATTTAGTAAAAATTAATAATAACTTTATAAAAATTTTATCCATATTTTTATTATTATTAACTTATATCGGATGTCACATAAATTGCTATTTATCTTTTTTTAATATGACATGATAACTTTTATTAATAATATAATTAAAATAATAATAATATGGGAGTTTGTGATAAAAAAAATAAAAAGTTAAGGAAGTTAACTTAAACAATTTTAAAGTTTTATATATTTTCTCCTAAAGTGACCTATAGATGAATCATCAATTTCCTGTAAAAACTAACATGCATATGAGATCTTAAGGAGCATTTTCTAACTAAGTATGCAATTTTGGAAATACTTTGAAGAAACTCAATTTTATAAATTTCACTTTAAAAAATATTTAAAATAATTGGAGAATGACAATTAAATTCTTATAAAGAAAATTAATGACATTTAGGTCTTGATAAAATGTTCTTAAAAATTATTCAAACATTTCCAATTATTTATCATGCTTCCCACGTATCATCCACTCTGATTTCTAGATCTTAAACTTCTTTTCAAAATTCACGTTGATTGAAATGGATTTTTGGGATGTCAATTCCTAAAATGTTTTTGTATTTCACCTTATTCTATTTTTATTTTTATTTTTTGTACTTAACCTTATTCTTTGGAAACTTTGATTTCGATCAGTCCTTTCTACCATAGTAACTCATTATAATAATTGTTTTCTTTCTAATTATCATGATAAGGTTAATTTAAGGTTAAATTGGTAATTAAATATGTGGTTTAAATTGAGGGTATTACACTACACAACTCCCAAGTTACAACCAGACAAAAAATGATATATCTCTAATTCAAAGCAAATTCATCAGCAAAGATGACATCAATGATACATATCCAACATCAAAGGTTCACTTTCTACTACGCTTCTTTCTACATCTCTTTAAAATCCTACTTAAAAAGTCTTCTAGAACCAATATGAAAAGTCATTCATGCAGTGGTGTCCATCCCAAGCCAATAGTTTTGTGCGCGCATGCATGTACACATCTTTGATAGACTTGGGCAAGTATTTAGGTAATGTTTAGGATTTTTTTTTGTTTTTAATGAAAAGGAATAGAATGAGATGGCTGGAAGCCTTATGCCATTGTTTGGGAGAAATTTTTAAAAGATAGTAAAATGGTTTGGGGTGGCCTTCTAAGACATCTCTTACCATCCTAAACCCATTTTTCTTAACCACAGAATAATATGATATAAATAATATTCTTACAAAATTATCCTTATTCTTCTCACCCTCTCTCACTCTTTCACTCCCCTTTATCTTAAAACTAAAAAATATAATTATATGTAATTAAAATATATTAATTTTATAATTATTCTTAAATAATGATTAAATAAAATTATTTATTTTTTTAATGAAACTCTCAAACAATGGAATCCCATTTCATTTCACTCAGTCCCACTCCATCACATTGCATTCCTTCAATGATCATTCATTTTCATTTTGTCATATACTCTCAAACATACCATTAGGCACGAAGGCAGATGCTGGAAGAGGTAAATTAATCCTATATGAATAGCTTTTAAATGCGATTGGTAGGAAAATTTCTGGCTAGAGAGCCATACTACTCTCTCAAGCTTCACGTTTGACTTTGATTAAGCCTGTCCTATCAGCTTCTAATGGCTACGTACCTTCTTTCCCATCTTATCGAAGAAAATTTACAACTTAATAGATTTTTTTTTTTTTTTGTGAATTTGACAGTGACAAGAAGAGAGTGCATCTAGCAAAGAAAGAATTACTTTTTGCTCTTGTCTCCAATTGAGGTTTGGGCATTCGATCCACTCACCCAATGAACTTAGCTGTTCTAGCTAAGCAAATATGCAGGATTCTATCCTCACAACCAATTTTTTTCCTAGAAAATACACTCTAAATAAAATACATAGATACTTCCAGCAATTACAAGCTTAAGAAACCATATAATGCATATGTTTTGGAAAGGAATACTAGAATCTCAAGATGTCATCCTTAAAATTTTAACATGGCATCATCTTGATATTCGTTCCTCATATGTTATTTTATGTCTAAATGTTAAATCTTTATCTCATCTATTTGGAAGTTGTAGTCACACAAGACCTATATGGTTTGGTGCATTGTCCATTCAGTCCTCTAATGTTGTAGATGATGGTTTATCCAATTGGCTCATCTCTATGCTAGTTTCCAAATTTGCATAGGGATGGCTTAGACTATCAGCTGAGGAGTATCATCATGCTCCTTAACATTGCTTTCCATAGAGGTATTATCCTCCAGCCTTGTGAAGTAGTTTTAGAATTTCACAATCATTGTCATTATCCTCTGGACATTTGTCAATGGTCTGATACAGGTAGAATATGAATACTTAAATATCATTAACTCTAACTCATCAACTTTTGTGTGGAATAACCTTTCTACTGGGTTTATAACTGCTTCAATTGAGTTGGAACATTAGAATGCAGAAGTTCAAGCATAGCCATGAAGTATTTTGTTTTCCTATCACATATATTAATTTAGAGCATTTGCACAATTTTAAGTGGAGACGTTCTTCCAACACTAGGCCTCATTATTTTTCTATGTATACGTGCTCTGTTGATATGGATTAGGGGAGCTTCTGCTCACAGGATCTCCCCTCATTGTGGCTTCTCATTACTGTGTTACCGGAAGAAACTTTATAATTGTCTACTCCAAAACCATCATTATATTTCGCCTTTAGTTTCAAATGCGAAGTTCTTAGTTAAATCCTTCAGAGCTGTTTCATTTCATGTATCTCAGGATAGATTTTTCTTTCTTTTACCCTTTCTCGTTGACTTGTTTGCAAACTAATGTGTTGTTATCTTTTTAATTTTTTAATTTAATTGATATTTTTATAAAAAATAATTATATTTTAATAAGTTTAAGATGTCAAATCTAATTATATAATTATATGAAATTATTTTTTTAAAAAAACTACTTTTTAATACTAAATTTGCCCCTTCGGAAACGAGAATATCATAAACCACAAGATGTGACAATTGCCAAGCTTCAAAGGCCAGACTTGGTGACAAATTATATAGTCTCATGGGACATGAACGAAGACTCAAATGTTAATATAATATATCAAAGTTGCAAATCTTTAAAAGGGTCATATGTTTAACTTTAAGGAATCAAAGTGTCAATAATTTTTCTACAAGGGATTCAAATGTTATTCTCCCAACATTTCTTTTTAAAAAAAAAATCACATTCTTTTTATTTATTTATTTTCCAACGGAGAGGCAAGTTGTGAGATATTTTATGACTTGCTTCCCAGTGTCTTGCACTCTTTTGGGTGCAATCATAACCCTGATGCACTGGACCTCATTAAAATTTTACGGTTAAATATGTTTGGACCAGAGTAATAAAAGAATGGGTAACCTCATAAAAAGTTCTCGTATTTCTCCCATCCTTTAAAATTTTCTTACACTCTTTTATGACTTTAATCTAGAGCTTGATTAAATAGGGCTAACGCAATGTCATGTTACCCTAGACTTTTACTTAATTATAAAATTTTTTGTCCAAATATATTTCACATAATTTTGTATTAAAGTTCATTTTTGTTCTGAAGTTATTTTTGTAGAAGCACCAATGTCCTAAATTTTTTATCTTTAAAATAATTAAATTACAATAATGTTGCCCCTAATGTTAAATGAGAAAATGTTGACCATTAACTTTGCTAACTCAAATTTAGCATTAAGGATAACATTATTATGATTTAATTACTCTAAAGGCAATATTATTACTATTTGAGTCAAACTTATTTTTGAGTCAGCAAAAGTTAATCATCAATGTTTATCTATTTAATGTCAAGGGCAACATTACTATGACTTAATTACTTTAAGGTCAATATTGGTATAACAAAAAGTTTAGGACATCAAATGCTCCTCAAAAAATAGATCAAGAACAAAAATGGATCCAAAAAAAGACCTAAAATTTTTAAGTTAAAAATGTAAATTAAGTGTTATTGTAATTGGAGACTATTGAGCATGCATATATGAGACATCAAAATTAATTAGACTTACCCCTCCTTGAGATGCACAGGAACTTTAGGGCAATATTTTACTATTTATCTATTTATAAATATAGTATTTAATTTCAAATTATAAAATTGCATTT